GACAGTTCCACAATGTTCAAAGCAGCCTTGTTTGAAATGGCCAAACACAGGAAACCCAACCGCCTCTCAGCAGGAGAGTAAATTTTTAAATTGTGAAGTAGTCGCACACGGGAATATTTTACAACAATTTAGAGTTCATAAAACTTGGTTAAGAAAGTAGGCTCACATCCTCAAGTTGTTCCAAACACGGGTAATAATTTTTTAGTAATGGAACCGAGTATCCATTTTAACTTGAACTTTAAATGAATTAAGATTTTTAAAAAATTACAATTTCATGTCCTCAGCTGCACTAGCCACGTTTCCAGTGCTAACAGCCACAGGTGGCTGGGGGCAACCACACCCGAACAGCACAACTCCGGACTCTTTAGTGCTATGTCTCCTTTTTCTCTTTAGCAAATTCTATCAACCTTTTCCTCAGAATATCTCTCCCCATCTACTCTTTGTTCCTTTTCAATTCAACCAACTTTTACCACCATTAAATTTTTAATTTTTACCACTATAAGATCATGTAAATTATACTTAAACTAAAAATCTAATTCTAACAGCCAACTTTTTAAAATATATATTTTATTGATTTTTTACAGAGAGGAAGGGAGAGGGATAGAGAGTTAGAAACATCGATGAGAGAGAAACATCGATCAGCTGCTTCCTGCACACCCCCCACTGGGGATGTGCCCGCAACCAAGGTACATGCCCTTGACCGGAATCGAACCGGGGACCCTTCAGTCCTCAGGCTGACGCTCTATCTACTGAGCCAAACCGGTTAGGGCTAACAGCCAACTTTTACTGAGTATTTACTATGTACCAGGAACTATTCTAAGCAATGTACATGTGTTAACTCACTTAACTGTCATACTATAGTCATTAAGTGGACTCTATTAATATACCCATTTTAATGATGAAGAAACTGAGGCAGGAGGAGATTAAATAAATTTCCCAAGGTCATAGTAATTGAGTGGAAGAGCTAGAAATTGAACTGAAATAGTTTTATTCAGATCCCACACTATACCACTATTCTGTTTCTCTCTCACAAATATAACCATAAAAATGATAGAGTGACCCTGTCCAGGTGGCTCAGTTGGTTGGAGCGTTGTTCCATACATCGAAAGGTTGTGGGTTTGATTCCCAGTCAGGGTACATACCTAGGTTTTAGGTTCCATCCCCAGTGAAGGTACATATAGGAGGCAACCAATCAATGTTTTTCTCTCTCCCCCTCTCTCTAAAAAAAAAAAAAAAAAGTCTACAATAATTCATTTTTTTAAAAAAATGATAGAGTGATAGGATTATAGGTGATTTTTACTATCTTCTTTTCATTTATCTATATTTTCCAATTTTTCTGCAAATGAAAGGTGTCACTTTTGTTATTTAAAAATCTTTTTTAAAGTAAAGTCAGATAATTATCAGAGTTTTAGTATACTCTTACTTTGAGCCAGGAGAATAGACAAAATGCCTTCTTAAATGCCTTCAGATCTCAAGAAGCTGTTCTTCTTTAGCCCCTTTGGTAATAAACAAAAACATCCCATCTTGCCACCCTGTAAGTACCTCATGACAATTGGAGAATTTTAATTTTCTCTCTTCACCAAATATGGCAGGATGTTTTAAACATCCAACCTTGATGGTTCCTGAGGAGTCTGCTCTCAGCCTCTGGCTGCCTCAGCCGTGTTTGCTTCATGCTCATGCTAACCCACTCTCAGCAGGATTCTCCACTTCGTTTCTGACCTTCCAACCTTGATTTCTGGTGGACTCACCCCCACTCCACATTTCAGCCACCTCGTCTTCTTGCAGTTTTCAGACTCTTGTGTATTTCCTACCTGTGGACCTTTCCTCAGGCTCCTCCCTCTATCTAGAAAGCACCTTTCCTCCATCTCTACCCTTTGAAATTCTACTGATTATTCCAGGTCAAGTACCAACTGTTTAGATAAGTCTTCTTTTCCTGTCAGCCTCTATCGTGCCACTCCTGCATTGTTTGCCATCAGTTAACCTTATCTCGTCCCTTATATGTCATTATTTGTATATTTACCTTTTCTGCCTACCATTATTTCTTATGCATCTATGACATGTCAAGACACTTAACATGTTATCTAATTTAATCCTCACAACAGCCTCTGAGATAGGTATTACCATCCCCATTTTACAGATTGGTAATCTGAGGCTGTCAGAAGTTTAATTAACTTGCTCCACTAGCATCCTTACTAAGTGGGATCACTCATTCAACCAATTTTATTCCAGATTCCTCAGCCCTCCGGGCTTTTCCAGGTAGATTGGGAAGGCCGTTTGGGGGCAGTTAGCACTGGAGCCTCAGGACCAGGCAGATGTGTTAAAAGCTGTGATCTGCTTCTCTCGAATTTGATTTGGGTTCATCATGCTATAGGAAATGGTCGGTCCTTGGGCTCTCAGTCAGCACCTAGCCCGGGCTAGCACAGGACTAAAGAAATGATTCGTGAAGACAGACTCCATTCAGGAGGTTTAGTTCCACTGGTGACCCTGATGATTGGAAAACTGTGAAAGGAATGCCAAGCCCCAGCTCAGGGTTAGAAATCTAGAACTCCCCGGTTTAAGGAGTAAGAAAAGCGTTTAGGCCGCAAGCCAAACCTCTCTGTTCCCTGACGAGATCCAGAGCGATGCATCAGGTTTCAGAAACAAGGCTGGAGCAACACTGTTATCATGAGGGTCAGCCTTGGACTGATAAGAGTCCCAACACAGACTCACAAAATTCATATGCAGATACAGCACAGAGAAGGGCTAGTCTACCCTGAATTGGTTTTTCACCATTTAGGGTTGGAAGCCCCGAAACTAGTTGGGTCAGTTCATATTGCCAAGCGAAGACTGTTATGATAATGAGTTTATCCGCTTCCTTATTGATTTGGAGTTGAGGGTGTTCTGCCGCCACTGTTTGCTCAAGGAGTGCAAACAGGACCTGCTGACTCCCGTGACTAATGAGCATGAGTCCTGAGCCACTTTCACTGTGGCCTGGGGTGTGGATCGAATGGTAAAGAAGCCGACTGGGAAAGGGGGTTAGGTAACTCTAATTTGTGCTTTCTTTGTATTTTCCTTTCAGTCCTCAAAGCAATCCTTTTTGAGGTGGGTATTACTGAAATGCCCATTCTACAGATCCAAACACTGGGTGGGAAGTCACAGGCAGGGACTGGAGCGCTGAAATGTTGAGTCCCACAGCTTTGCCCTAAGCTCACTTGCGGTGGCAAGATCTTTCACTTAGGCAAATGGCAGTCATTCAAAAGGACTAAAGGCAAAATGTGTAACCCAGTTAGAGTTCTCAAGCATCAGTCTTCGTCCCTGCCTCCAAACCGAAATGATACAAAATGTTAAATCTCTTAAATGTCTGCAATTTGCACAGTTGACAAGGATCTCAACAAGAGTGGCAGTTGAACTGTAAGATTCTTACCTTCCACTCAAGAGACTCCCATGTTGGATTCTTAGGCAAGTGGGCTTGTTGGAACTGTTTAACTTAGTTGGCTCAAGACCATAAGCCACCAAGGCCAGTAAGCCACAGTCACTAACAAAATCATGCTGTTCCCAGCTCTATCTTAAACAGGAGAGAAAGTGGCTGGGTGGAAATGGGATTGTATATGGGATGGCCCAGGGCTGGTAGTCACTGGGATTGGTAAACATTTTCAAAAATCATACTGACTTGTGTCGTATTCATGAATGAAGTCAAACATCTGTCTGTACTCACACAAAAATTCTCTCCTCTCTCCCTCCCTACTTCTTCACGATGTGTTATGTTGTAGACAGTCTATGGTTAGAACACCATAATAATATATTTCCATATGGGGTGGGGTTGTGGTTGCTAACCAATTAATACTGATAACTTTAAAAGAAGTATTTCAACTTCTCTTCCTAATATGCCAAGGTATCGGGGTTTGATCCCCACTCGGCATATACAAGACACAACCAATAAATGCATAAATAAGTGGAACAACAACAATAACATTTCAACTTCTCAAAACCTTAGCCACGTATGACATTTTGGATTATTTTTGCATAGATATATTATGAAGTCTTTCACATTTCTCGGAAACTAAAGGACAACTTTTGTTTTGCCTTCCCCAATGCAGTTCTTATAAGTATTTCTTGCTGCCTCTGCCATATGGTTAAAAAAACACACGTTACTCAGAGCACAACCAAATATTGTTATGTCAATATTATAGAAACGATTGAGTTTTGTTACTCCTTAATACCTTTTTGTACCTCTCCAAAAAGAATGTTCAAAAGGCACTTTTGGCTGAAAGGCATTCACTACCTATCGTCTGAATTATGTTGACAACATTTTGGAAGCACCTTGAAAAAGACGTATGACCTATGTCAGGCGAGTCAGAGAAGGATAGTCGGGATTAGCGGAAAGTGAGGTGTCACAGAAGTCAGTCTGGCCACAGACGGGCCATGTGCCGTCGGGAACACTAAGCCAAGTGCAGGGGGAAGCAAAGCTACAAAGAGGCTCTACCTTCAGCAGCCAGCAAGGTGACTGGGTGCTGGATAGGAGGGGGGAGAGGGGGCGAGACCTTTCAGTGCCTCTCCTACGTCTCCTGCTTTCACACTCCTTCTGAAGCCAGATAAAGGCACAAGGACTCCCATCCGCTCCTCTCCTGTGGCCTTCCTAACTTCTTCCCCACCCCGCTTCTCCCCTCGCCCACTTTCTATTTCGCCCCTCTGCACATACATCAGCTTTTGTTCTCAACCACTTTTAAGGTCATTCACCCCAGCTGGAAAACAGCTCATGTCTTCTCCCCCTAGTCCGGTATCCAGGAGCCCAGTCCCAGATGGTGGACCTTCCTCCCCGAGCTCCCTGCCCGGACTGTGAGCCCCCCAGTGGGCTGGCCTCTCCATGAGCCGGTCTGCTCCTCTCCCCCCAGCCCCCATCATCATCCCCCCAAAACTAAACTCCGTGGCCTCTGAAACTGCCTGTGCTTAGGTCCCCAAGGTCTCCACCAGGATCCAAGATTTTTCTGAGCAAAGTGGGGTCGGTTCCGGGAGGACAGTACCTCTTTGCAGGCGTGAAGCTCCCGTTCCGCTCCCTGGGTCACCTGGAAGGCGGTCCCGACCCAGAGCAGCAGCCGCAGGAGCCGGAGCGTGCGCCGCTCCGTTCCTCCCCTGCCTCTGGCAGAGGGATGGAGGCTGCGCCCAGCATCAGCCATAGCGTTGTCCTGAGCTGGCGGCGGCCGCGACTCAGGTGCTGCGGCTGCTGCTCCCGCTGGCAGAAGGCGGAAAAAAAGGGGAGGGAGGTTCCTAGGGGGAGGATGCAAGGGGCTGGGCTCACTTCAGTCACCTCCAGGCCACCACGCCAAAGCCGCCCATCCTTCCTCCTCCCTCCTTCCTCGTCTCCTCCTACCCACGTCGCCTTGTCAACCGCCTCCTCTTTCCTTCCGCGCGGGTGGGGTAGGGACCACGCGATGCTCTGCCGCTCACCTGCCGGTCGCCATGGCAGCCGTCGCTGCTGGCGCGCGCCGCGTGGAAGTGCGCGCGCCAGGGACAGGGGGACGAGTGAAGAACGCGGCGGGAGCATCTCCGAGCCATCGCCACCAAATTCATGTTTCCCACTGCCCTTGCGGGCCCTGGCCGTGCGCTATGAGCATCTCTGATTCTGCAGACGTGGCGGGGACAAATACTGAGCACGTCCTGAGTGTAAAGCGCTAGAAAGAAGATGGAGACGTCGTCTCCCTTCTAGAAGTTACAGCCTACAAGAGTGGCTTAGAAGGCGTTACCTACTGCAAAGACGGCCGCTCCACGTCCATCCCTCCACATCCGTCTGGGCCTTTACAGCCGGCTTGACGCAAAGCCTTGAGATTCATATAGTTAAACCGGGTTTAAGCAAGGAGTGTTTGCTTAGGCGGCAGTTTTCCAAGCACGACACGTGTGCTCTCCGTCTCTGGACATCCCCATTCTCTTACTGCTTTGAAAAATCCTTTTGTTAGATGCGAGGGAGAAGGGCATTTCTGGGTCATCTTTTAGGATTCCGTTTGCTAGCTGAAGCCTTTTGTATTAGTCCTGCATGCCGGGAGGACTCTGTTTTTCCACCTAAGGTTCAGGAGGGCAAATCCAGGGCTCCTGGGGGTATGGACAGCGGCTCTTTCCCTCTGTGTTCCCAGTAACTTCCTCCCGAGGGGCCTCCCACGTTTGACCGCCAGGTGGCGCTCTTCTTGATAGGAATTCGTCTGTCATAGACGGTGGGGCAGTTGCCTGGCAACCGAAAGTGAGCCTTCCAAACAATTGGGACCCGCGATCCTCTGTGCGCAGGGTTGTGTGCGGCTGCGCCGGCCTCCCGTTCCTCCCAAGAGCTTCTCATTTGGCCATGCCTCCCACCCGAGACCCTTTCCAGCAGCCAATGCTGAATAACGATGTTTCCGGCCCGGGGAAACCGAGGGCTTCCAAGGTACTGTGTTCTTGCGCAGTCCTGGTGGGCCATGACACTCTTCTTTCTGTCATGAGGGGGAACTTAAAGGACTCTGGTGAGGACACTGAGGTCCTGGACAAGTCGGTGTCCTGCCTGCCTCCATGTCCCCATGTTCGGGTCGGCTAACGTTTCAGGGATGCTTTGGGGCAAAGAGAAGTAAAGCTCTAGACCAGTGGAACTAGGGGCTCTCGCCAAAGCAGATTGGTGTAATGGGGCTGAAACAGGCCCAGGGGTCGCCAAGCCTTTGCCCTGTTTGGAAGACAGCCCTCTAAAAGGCTATGAGATATGGAGGGAGAGAAAGTCCTCTGAAAGCCACCGGGTCATGTGTCTTCACACCGTCTCTGTCTGGTTAATACTGGAACGTGTGTATGTGTGGCAGCGGCTTGGGAATTCAAATGATCCTTTTTCTAATAGAAGTGGCTGGGATGTTTGAAGTGGTGCAAACTAAGGAGAATTAAATAGTCATTGTGGCTTAATAATAAAATCAAAGAGCTTCTTTTGGTTTATTCATCATTTATTATCTACTATATGCCAGGTACCACTAAACACTGAGGAGCTATAGATTAGCAGCTATAGATATAGATATATTAGGTATAGCACCTGCTCTAAAGAAACTAGTAGAAAGGCCAGACTGACAACATCAACAGCTATAACGCTTGCACAGTAGCATGTGTGTTGTGAGTTATACGAAGTGTGTCAGGAGAACTGGGAGCTAAAAGGGGAGCAATGGAGTTTTGACATCAAAATATGAGTGAGCTGGGCCAGGTGAGGGAGGAGGTGAAATGTGAGTTGGGAAGAAAGAAACAGGAATGAGACACTGGTCACCAGCAAGACAAAGGAAGCAGCAGGTGCTCAGACGCCTGAAAGGGGGAGAAAGTGTGACCTGTTTGGGGCCAAGGAGGAGGAGGAGTGGAGAGAGCAGAAGCTGGAGAATGATCTTTCTGGGCTGGGTGCGCTGTGTCCACCATGCCACTGAGCTAGGATTTCATCCTGGAGGGGCTGGGAATCACATCAGGATTTGAAGCACTAGAGCAGCGGTTCTCAACCTGTGGGTCGCGACCCCTTTGGGGGTCGAACGACCCTTTCACAGGGGTGGCCTAAGACCATTGGAAAACACAATTACATATTGTTTTTGTGATTAATCACTATGCTTTAGTTATGTTCAATTTGTAACAATGAAAATACATCCTGCATATCAGATATTTACATTACAATTCATAACAGTAGGAAAATTACAGTTATGAAGTAGCAACAAAAATAATTTTATGGTTGGGGGTCACCACAACATGAACTGTATTAAAGGGTCGCAGCATTAGGAAGGTTGAGAACCACTGCGCTAGAGCGACACAACAGATGGGTGTTTCAGAAAGCACAAGTGGCAGTGGATTGGATGGGGTGGGAGTGAGACAAGAGGGCTCAGCTAGGAGGCAGCAAACTCCAGGAGGAAGAATAATGGACCTAAAGCAGTGATGCAGGGGATGGCGATAAGTTGCAGATAAGAGAGATGCAAAAGGCAGGACTGATGGGACTTTGTGGCTGACTGGATATGAGCCCAAGAGAGCGGATGAGTCTAGGGTGACTCCTCGTTCCTGAGGGCTTAATTGATACCATTTACTGAATGAGGCCTCAGGGTAAGCAGGGTTGGGGAGAGAGAGATTCAGATCAATGATGTAGATGTCACTTTTGTGGTGCCTGTGGGACATTTAAGTGGGAATGAATAGCAGGCAGTTGGTTGAGAGTTCTGGGCTGAAGATGTACATCTGGAAACCACAGTGTCCATATGGTGGTTGAAGCCACGGGAAGGAATGAGCTCATCCAGCAAATGTGAGAGTAAGGAACGCAGAAACGAAACTCCCCCGGAATGCCGAGCAGAGCTGAGAAGCAACAGTTAAAGGCAGGAGGAAATTCGGAGGAGCCGGACCCACAGAGGGTCGAGAGAACATTTGAGAGAGTCAGCATCATGGTGCCAGAAACTGCAGAGGTCAGATAAGACCCGGTCTGGAGAGGATCCACCCGACCACGCCTCAGAAATCATTGGTCACCAGCAAGAGCGGTTTCTGCGGGTGCTTGAGGCAGAGGCCAGACTGAAAGGGGATGGGGAGGGGGAGGAAGTGAAGATAGTAAATGTGACTCTTGAAGAGCCTGGCTCTGTAGGGAAGGTGATAGAGTGGTAGTTAGATGGGTATAAAGGAATGTGAGGGAAGCTGAGTCCAGGGGATGCCAGCATGGCGCAGGTCTCTGAGGCACAGGGAAGGGCTGGTCAGGGAAGACGGGTTATTCTTGAGGAAAGGGACTTCCCTTCTCTGAGGTGGAAGGAAAGTATGACATTAGTGCTTGACTTTCTCTTTGAAAGACAATCTCATTCTTCTTCTGATAGAGATGATGAGGCTTATGTAGCCTTCCAGGAATGGGAGGAGAGCTGCCTACGCTGCATCGTATGTATTTGTAGTTTTCTTGTTTCATTTTTCATCTTTCTTGGTGATAGCACAGAGTGCTTGGCACATACTGTTCAATTAACGTCCAATTGAGCTGAGTCACACAGCGCTTTTCCATGTATAGGGAAGAGGGTTCCAACCTCGGGCAGGTTGATGAGATTTCTACTAGGTTGCAGTTGTGCTCACTGGAGTTCAGTCATTGATTCAACCAATATTTCATTTTTTAACATCATGTGTTAGGTGGCTGGCTAGTTACTAGGGACACAATGATGAACAATATGGCATTTTACATGTAATGAAGACATCAGTTATATGCATTCATGCTATGGTTTTTTATTTAGAGGATTGACTGTCCAATGGAGTCTGAGAGAGAGAGAGAGAGAGAGAGAGAAATCAATTGATTGCCTCCTTCACAAACCCTGACAGGGGACCAAACTCAAAGCCTGGATATGTCTGTCCCCTGATTGGGAATTGAACCTGCCACCTTTTTGATGTACAGGACAACACTCCAACCAACTGAGCCACACTGGCCAGGACTCCAGTGGACTTTTTCTTTGACAACCCTTCAGTCACAATGATCCTTCTCTATTGAAATCCTTTTCTCACCTGCTTAGACACTGCACTCTCCTGGTTCTCCCGTATCTGATTGCCTCTTCCCTTCCCCAGTTATAATATGTGCACTCATGAACCACTTTTTCCCTTTTGGCCACACTCGCTTTTGCAGGCTTCAACCACAGCTGCATGGAGATAACCCCCAGATCTCAATTACTAGTCCTGAGCTCTCCAAAAAGTCGCACACTTCCAGTTTTCTACCTGTTAATTGCATTAGGATGTCTAACCTTTTCCTCAAACTCAGGATGTCTAAACCTACGCTCACCATCTTTCCTATATGTTCCCCACCCTTTGCCCCTGTCCTATCCACCCCTTTCCCTCTATTCCTGGCCCTTTTCTGTCAGTTCTAAGATTGTAGACTTAGGAGGATCAAAAGCCTGGGGCATTTTGCCCGATATTGTTCTTCTCTTTACAGATGTTGCTCTGAGATTCAATTAAAATAGGATGAAGGGGTGGATGTCACTGAAGCTACCATAGCAGCAAGGACCTGTATCCAGGTAACCAGGTCCTGGGCGGTTTTTCTTTTGCAGATGCTGCAATATAAGAACCCAACTCACCTGGACCAGCAACAGGAACCCTGGAATCGGCTCAACTCAATTCCCACGATCACCTCCATTAGGCGGAATTCTTATTTTTTTGAATCTGAGGTACCTGCTGTTGAAATACTATTTCTCTTTACGTCCAATTAGAATTCATCAGTATCCTCTTTGGAAGGAAGTCTGTCCCTAACTTCTTTAGTATCTTTCCTTTTGTCCTCAATCCAAGATCCTACCAAACTAAATACCAATTTATCTGGTCTCTGGGAAGTTAGAGGCCTGGGTTCTGCTCTAGTCAGACATCTGAAGCAAATCATTTTCTCACCGGACTTCTCACTCTTCTGATTAAAACAAAGATTGAATATAACCATGAACGAAGTAAGGCCCATTGAGCCCAAAGCGGGGACAGTATAGTGATTCCCATATCTACAGGGAGAGCTCACTACTCCTTAGACCTAACCATGAGAGACAAGAGTCACCATGTACTAGTTGGTGTGTAAGGAATTGGTGGATCCAGGCCCAAAAGGCGTTCTCTCTCCTTTTGGGGAAGAGTAGAGGCCAAAAGAACTTGACTAGAGCTGGGGGTAGAGTTGGTGCATTAACCCTGGGGGCGTTAACTTCCTCTGTAGATTCCAAAGGATAATCTGGATTTCCGCTTAGCTGCCTTGTACAACCACCACACGGGGTCGTTCAAGAACAAAAGCGAGGCCCTGATCCACCAGACCTCCAAGGACACCCGTGGGTAAGTGGTGGAGGCAGAGCCTCCCCATTCTAAGGGTAATACCATCAATTAAATAAGGTAAAGGCCACCTGGGAAATAACTATCAATAGGTGCTCATTGGTATCCAGATTTCTGTATTGTTTATATCTGTACCTGTAACTTCTGTATCTTTCCCTTTATTCTTTTTCCATCACAATTTATCCCCCATATACTCTCTTCTTCCTTCCCCCTTACTCCCACAGTCACCACACTGTTGTTCGTGTCCAGAAGTTTTCTTTTTTCTCAATCCCCTTTCTTTTCTCAAACCACCACCACCACCACTCCCACCAGAGCTATCTGCCTGCTCTCTGAGTCTGTCTCTATTTTGCTTGTTAGTGCAGTTTGTTTATTAGGTTCCACATATGCGTGAAATCCTACGGTACTTATCTTTTTCTGTCTTATTTCATTTAGCATAATGTCCTCCAGCTCCATCCATGCAGTCCAAAAAAGATAAAATGTTCTTCCTTTTTATGGCCGCGTAGCATTCCATTGTGTGAATGTACCATGGCTGTTTTATCCATTCATCTACTGATGGACAGGGGCTGCTTCCGAATCTTAGCTATTGTAAATAATGCTGCAGTGAACATAGGGGTGCATTCTTTCGAATTGGTGTTTTGGGTTTCTTCGGACAAATTCCCAGAAGTGGAACTGCTGGGTCATAAGACAGTTCTATTTTTAACTTTTTGAGGTAACTCCCATACTGCTTTCCACAGTGGCTCTATCAGCCTACATTCCTACCAAGAGTGTACAAGGGTTCCCTTTTCTCCACATCCTCACCAACACTTGTTTTTTCTGTATTTTTATTATCTGAAATGAACAGAGAACTTCCTGTTTTTATCTGTATAAACAAACAAAATCTTCAGTTAATTCCACTAAGTGTAAAAAGGGTCTTTGGCTGCTTTATTTTGGAGGTGGCATGTAATTCTTTCCCTCCTTACCTTTCTCCTGCTTGGCTTCATTCTCCCCTATTCTTCTCCATACCCATCCTCTAGGATCATCAACATCCAGGCCCCTGCAGAACACTTACCCCCTGCCCCACCACTGCCCACCACCTCCCAAGCTAACATCAGACAATGGATCAGCCCTAAGAGGGAGTCCATCCACAGCATCCATGGGTCCATAGGTAAGTTATAGGGCAGATGGTGGTACAAATTCTAAATGGACCCAGGAATCAGGGAGTTGAGGTGATTGGCTATGAGGGAACATGGGGGGATAACTGAGGGTCTTGCAACAGCAGTGATTAAGTTGTCACATATCAGACAGATCAGGGGACATGCATGCTGACTATGGAATGAAGTCCATTTTTCCGAGCCTCTAACTCACCCTTAGGTCTAGGGGACAGAAATTTCCAGCAGAAACCTGGGAGTGGAAGACCTATAGCTACCTCCTATCTGTCTTCTATATGCCAGTTCCCCAGCTGTTCTAAGAACCTTCTCTCTGGCACCCATAAATGGATGGGTGGTTACAGGTTCCCAGTGAAGACAAAGGATCTGAAATTCACAGCCCACTCCCTCTTTTCTCCAGTGTCCCCTCACACTGCAGCCACCAACAGAGGCTACTCCCGAAAGACGGATGGTGGCTTCTTCTCCACCTGATGCTGACAGGCCCCTGGATTGATTAGTCGATGGGACAGCCTGCTGCCCACCTCCATTAAAAACATTTGTGCATGGTGAAGCCTGAAGTGTCTGTCACCCATAGAGTTGCCACTAGACTACTCTTAAAAGGTGGAAGTTTCCCAACTTCTAGAAACTAGTCTTGTTGAGAATATTTGCAAGGACTTAGAACAGCCCCGTTTGGGGCAGGAGGCAGGTATTCCTTTCTTGTAAATGAGTCATTCCAACCATACAGATACACCCATTCAATATTTCTTGCAAACCTTTGTGTCAGAGCTGTGTTTGGGAAACAAGAGTGGATAGAGCCCATTGTCTTAATGAGTTTACAACCAGTCATCTTAGTAGCTCTATATAGCATTTTTATGTGATGTCACACGTCACAGATTTCCGACCTCCTGGATTTAGTCATCTGCTGGGCTCTACTTTTCCATGGGGGGCAGGGACCTCCATCTCCCTGGTCCTGCCTCCTTGCCATTGTTTTCTCTAACTGCTGCCATAATCTTGCTGGGAATCAGTTCCCTTGCCTTTGTATGTTTGTGCTGATATCTGCCCCTAATTCTTATAAACATGGCTCAAAAATATGGTGCTTGGGTTTGAAGCTACCTAAAAACGATGCACTTACGTGGTCTCTAAAGTTACAAGTCACAGGAACCTATTAGATTGGACAAGAAATGGCAGACCTAGCTTATGGTACAGAAGTTTGGCATTGTTGAATAACAGATAGGAAAAGGCTGATACTCAAGTGCCTGGTCCTTAAAATACCACCAATCACAGCCCCTCTTCCACTATTTTTAAAAATAGTTTTACTGCTTTCAGAGAAAGGGAGGGATAGAAACACCAATGATGAATCATCCATGGGCTAACTCCTGCACGCCCCCTACTGGGATTGAGCAACTGGGGCATGTGCTCTGACCAAGAATCCAAGCGTGACCTCCTGGTTCTTGGGTCCATGCCCAACCACTGTGCCACACAGGCTGGGCGCCTCTTCCACTATTGAGATCCTGTGGTGCCAAGTGGCCAGTTATTTAGAATGGCTGCAAATGGCCGAAAGGGGTGACTGGTTAGTCACCTCATGCAGGTTGATACTGATCATTGAAAAATTGATTACTGTGATCCATGCATAGAGGATTTTAGCCCTCCCCAGTTTGGCTCAGTGGATAGTGTCGGCCCTTGGACTGAGGGTCCCGGGTTCAATTCTGATCAAGAGCACATACCTCAGTTGCAGGCATAGTGTGTGCAGGAGACAACCAATCAATGTGTACACATTGCTATTTTTCTCTCTCTCCCTCCCTTCCATCTCTAAAAATCGGGGAAAATATCCTCCAGTGAGGATTAAAAAAATAAAAAATATAGATTTCTAGCCCTGGCCGGGTGGCTCAGCTAATCAGAACATAGTCCCCTAGCCAAAAGGTCCCAGGTTCCATTCCAAGTCAGGGCACATACTTAGGTTGCGGGTTCCACCCTGGGTTGGGGCACAAACAGGAGGCAACTCATCCATGTTTCTCCCTTTCTCCAAATCATTAAAACAATATCCTCGGTTGAGGATATATTCTGATTAAGTAAATCTGGGGCGGGTCCCTGGAATCCGTAGCTGTAAGTTCTCCAAGTTCTTGGGGAGCTATATGTGCATGTATGTATGCACATATAAACCTGCACCCCTTAGCAACAGGCTCGGTGGGGTGCAGTCATCATGACGAGGGGAGGCAGCTCAGACATCCTCGCCCTCCCGTCAGCGCCCGGGCCCGCCGCCACCACCACCGCGTCAGCCACACACCACGGGCGGCCGCCCCGGGGCCGGGCTCAGATCAGAATCGCCTCGATAATCAGCGGCCGGGACAAGCCCGGCCTCGTCTATCTGATCAATTCATCACTTCTGAGCGCCGGGCCCCGCAGATCGGCTCCGGGACCGCGGCGCCGCCGCCACCCAAGGGCCTCGCTGCACAGCGCCCGAAGCGGGCTTCGCCGGAGGGGAGCTTTTCATCTCGGGCCGGCCCGGCGGGCTGGGGTCACAACCCGATCAAATAAGATCAAGGTGTAGACGGGGGGAGGGCCGTAGGGGGTGTCACGCACTCGCCTTGCACGCCCCACGCACGCTCACATCCACCCACACACACACTCGGCCCGCACGCGCCATCCACGCGACACCGCAGCACCACTCACAGCAACCGCACCCCAGGCCGCGATCCCTCCCGTGAGGGGGCGGAAGTCCGCACCCCCTTTTAAATGCCTCTGCCCCTCCCCCCGCCTCGGAGGATTCTGGGAGGAACCACCGAGCACAGGCCCTCGCCGAGAGCGCGCTTTGCTGCCCTCTCGCGGCTCGGAGGGGAAGCCATGTCGCAGGGACAGGCGGGACAAACGCTTACAATACTGAGTCATTGTGTTCTTTTGATTTTTGTGCAGCTACATATTTATATTCATATCTGTCGTTTTTCTTTGACCTTTGATCCCAAGTTCTGGATACAAGAACATTCAATCTCAGTACTAGGTGAATGACTCCTTTTCCACGGAGAAGGCAAATCCTGGTCTTTACCAACATCAGCTTCCCCAGGAGTGCCTTCTCCCTTCACATCATCTACCAAAGGGAAAGTGAGACTAGATTAGGTGTCAGGATCTGTGAAATGAGTGAAGGTAGGAAGGCAGAGCCCTGTCCTCAGAGCCCTCTTGCTCCCCAGAACTTGATGCTGTGGCAGTCATATTGCTGAACCTTTGTTTACTTGCATATCCATTAAAACCCATCAGACCTTCAAACTCCAGAATGAGTAAACTGAAAAACAGACGCGATTATATGAGTAGAATTAGTTCCTTTTACAATCAGAGCACCTAAGCATGTGCCCTTGACTGGGAATCAAACCATGACCTCCTGGTTCATAGGTCAACAATCGACCATAGAGCCACACCAGCCAGGCTCTTCTTTTTCAATGAAATAAGTATGTGTGTGGGGGGGGAGGGGGGGGGGGGCTGCCAATCAGATTTTTGGACACTGGTAGAAAATGATTTGTGAAGTTATAGTTTATACTTTTGCCAGCCTTGCCATGCAGTTGGGATAAACACATAGGGGAAAGCATCCAATGTATGTGTCGGAATCCCATTGGCTCAAGGGTTTTCTATGTGTGTGGTTGGTTAACCTAATATCATTTGAATGTTTATGGCTGGTAAGGGCAGATGGTACTTATATTTTAATAGCGGTAGTATGTAAAGTATTGGGGAGTAATCTACCTTAC